AAATATCGATCAAAAGCCTTTATTTTTTGGCTTTTTAAGGACACATGCTTGAATACTCTTGAGAACTGGAGCCGTCGGAATCTAAAGGCAGCGACTAAGTCTCAGTGTCCGAAAAGCTCCTTTTGATAGTATAGGAAGAATCTGAGCGTTAGGCAACATCAAATATTCCGGATGTTGTTGCGACGAAACCCAGCATGAAATCTGAGAGAGAAAGGATCGATTCGAACGGGCCCACTGCAAGAATGCATGGATTCTGCGTACTCATTGGGTATGCAGCCGAATCCGACTCCCACTGAAGGATTATACCTAGCTCTCGTGAATGACTTGAGGCCGACGCACTGGTAGAGTTCAGAGGGGGTTGAGTACGAGGTATATGAGATGTTCTGCTGAATCGCCCCGAAAGCGATGTCGTAGCGAATTTCATCCATCAACAAATGGATTCACTGATCTCAAATGATTTGCCCTTCCGAGCAGACGTCCGCATCGTTCACAGCCTCAACCCCGGAAAAATGATCTTAGTTGAACAAGTACCCAAACCAGCACTAGTAAGTCGTCGTAATGGAGACTGCAACTTTGGTCTCCCTCAACATAGACGTATTGCTGTTTTTTTGCTACCTTCAATGGAATTCGAGATGGGATTCGTAACTTCATTGGTTCAGTCATATCAGATTCATTGCTCCATCCCCCTCGCCCCACTCTCTCCCCTCTCACAGTTTTATATCATAGCCTGGTCCAGATTCTCATATAACCGAATTATACTTTTTTGTAAGTTCATGAGATTCGTGGGGATCGAATGGGTGACGATCTCAGCTGACGATCTCAGCTGACGATCCACATGTTCCCACATGTGGATCGATCCCACATATGATTCATATCTGGGCTTTGTGGTAACTAGAAAAGAAGTCGAACGCCTTGATTCCTCTTCTAGACTGTGGCCTCAAGGGAGTTGTATGTACTGCCATCCTCATGTAGGCATTAGGGTTTATTAGGGTAAACGGAGATTTCTCGCGGGATCCGGCAGTTTCATAATATAAACTAATATTTTTGTTATATCCCATATATCCATATGTAAAAGGAATCAGCAATCTGAAGTCGTTTTCACGTATTCTCTGCGTGTCACGTATCTGTGCAACCCAAGAGTTGCCTCCGGAAATGACGCTGGTCCAAATAATCACCTGCAATTTCCTCTCTTGTCAGAACGGAAACCGAAACGAAGATATCACGAAAATATCAATATATAGAACATGAATCGGGTCTTTCTTGACAGTAGTCCCATCTAAAGTACTGCTACAAAAAAGGCATTGTTCAGGGGATGAAGGGGAATTGCGGAGGGAGGGAGGGGGAAGGGGGAATTGGGGAGGAAGGTAGGGGGAAAGGGGGGAAGTGGAAGGGAAGGGGTATTGTACAAAGGTAGGGTAGGGAGCCGGGGGAAGGAGAATAATGGCTCTAGACTACACCCGCTTCCGTGCGTAACCAATTTTCAGAAAGCATTGAGAACTCAGCGTTTATTTTAAATCAGTAGTAAGAGAAAGCACATTTAGCAATGTGAAAACAATATTTCAGAAGTTTTCCCTTATTTCAGCATACCGCAGTTCTGACCGTAACCCCAACCTTAACCTCCACCTCACTTCCTCCCGCACCCATCTCTATGGAATTCACTAACGTTATGCCTATGTTTGTGCGACAGATTGTCTTCTGGTTAGGCCTAGGCCTACCTTTTTTCTTTCAAAGTAAACTCTATCCTCAACATTCGGGTCAAATTAGGCGTATGACGGTTAACCCCTGGTCATTAAAACATCTCGGCGAGGACGTGTAAGGTTAGGCCACTCTCAAGCATATTCAGTCTCTCATGCCCCATCCAACAGAGGACATGTACCTTTAAACCGATTAGAGATATATTTTGAGTTCCATGATCCATTTTAATGCGCACGTGTCACGTTAGGCCAATCAAGAGATACTGGAGCAGTCTCGACTCTTCTTCTAAGTAGAGATTGCCTTTACGAAACACGACATGCTAGCTGGGCTCCATCCTGTTTATTCCCGGATGTCAGGATGGAATATGACCACATCCCACCAAATCGATCAGCCAGAATTACCCACTGTTTCAATCTCAGCTTATCCCAAGAATTCAGCACAGTGTCTTATGCATTAAAAACGGAAGATCAAATTTGCAAGAGAGAGATTCTGTTTTGAGAGAGAAAGAACCATGCCAAATGTATTACACGTTGATGTTCTCAGAATGGAATACGAAGAGATTGAATTTTACTGCAGGAAGGCAGTAAAATTGCCTCTACCAGAGGCAATAGCTTCTCTGAGCATTGAATGGAAAGCTCCTTAACGTGCATTACTCGGTTGATCGTGGTTTTCTCACCAAGCCTATCACGATCGGGCAATGCATCACGAGAGGATGCACCGTCTCCTTGGAACCACTCTGGTGGATCCAGGCTAAGACCATCAAGTTGAGATATTAACCCAGAACATTTTCAGGTATCTCTCACTATTTAAAGTTCCCTCAAAAAACCGGTGTTGGTTAGGTGGCTTCCAACCTATTGCGAGCTATTGAGAATATTCTTCTTCTGATCAATCTCCCCAGTTACATCTACCAGTGTGTCGATATATTCCCATTAGGTAGATATGTTTTCGGACGACTTGTCGGCCAGCTGAATCTCTAATCAACAATGAAATGATCCATCTTGGATCACTCGGATCACCGGCTACTTTGGGGCGACTCTGACTTGACTTGGAAATAACTTCATCGCTATCAGATCACCAGCGTGTTCAACCTTATAACTCCGCGTATTCCTCTTAAAGTAATACAATCTTCAGTCTAGTTTTATGCCGCTGGGTTTTGAAAGATATTCCTTCAATTTAGATGTTCTGTTTCGAAAGTTTCTGGTTACCGAGGAAATGCAGGAATTCATTTCTGAGGATTAATCGAAATTAAAGTTTACATATTTTTATTCGGAAATTTTTACAGGAAAAACTTCAAATTTTTTCAACATTGACAATGAATAGCCATCGTTCCCTTCCAGGCGGTCATCTAACGTGGAGGAGTATATTTGGGATAGCCAAAAAATTAGTTTAAGAGATCAAATAAACACTTATTTCTTATCATGAAGTATGGCTAGTAGGAAATCCGCGGAAAAGTTGGACCTCACACGAACAGAAACCGCAAACGGATATCCCCAGATAACGCAACATCCCTTACCACAGTGGAGAGCGGAAGGGAAAGGAATCAGGAACCCGTGGACGTTGACTCTATGTAAACTCTAAACCCGTCGGAGCCGATAGATTCCTTCAAGTGTGTTCAAGTCATCTCCTGGCATATTTCAGCATACAAATACATATTTCAGCCCGTCTCCATTTTCGCCCTCAGGCAATTCCAAGCTCATCATTTCTTATAGTGAGTCTTACTCAAGGTGATTTCTCTTCTAAGGTATCAATTGTCTAGGTCGTCTGAAAATAAAGCGACAGTCATTCAACGTAGCTTAGAAATGCCCCGTAAATAATACATTTCGGAAATTGCTGATTCTTCATGGTAAAAATTTCACTTTCTCTCTCTCCCCTCTCTCTCTCTTTCTATTTTCACTAAGAACTTCCGACACACACTTGCTTGATTTTATCGCCTTGTCCCTTGTTGCTGCATGTCATATAGTCATAGACTATATGACATGCACATTGGAACCAGCTCAATTCTGCCTTGCAGAAATCTTAACTTTATATATAGGATGGAGAAAAACTAAAGTAGCAAATTGAGACTAGTTGTTGGCAAGTTCTCGATAATAATGTTCAGGCTGTGTTGACTTAATCAGCAAAGGGTAGATCACTGCTCAATCACTTCTCTTAAGACGAGGACGAGCCGTATACACGAACTTCTTTTGGATCTGTTGGACACCGATACCTTGTGTATATTGGAATCACATGCTATTATTTTCTTGGAATCAAACTTATTTTGCTTACTTTATGGCCTCTTAAAATTGCCGTAATTCTCGACAGATAAGGGAATAGTAATATGCACTTGGGAGAATCTCAAAATGAAGAAAATTGAATTCATTGATATCCGTCAGCATCACTTCAAAAAAAAAATTACTGACGTGCTTGCTATCATGTGTAGGAGTATCCTTTCTCTCCAACAGAAATAATTGTGGAACGTGGATCCGATTTAAATCAGCTGAGAAGACAAAATTAAGAGGGGAACCGACAGCGTCCGAACATTTTCTGCCGCCTTCCATAGCGAATCCTACGATGACACCATTCTTGACCATCGTCTTCCTTTTTCTTCCCTCCTTGGTGTCTGGTATATTTGAATGCCCCACGCAATCCATACGACCCTGCAAGTGCATTATAGATTCTATTGGCAGTGTTACAGTTGATTGTTCAGATGCTACCTCTGATAGTGAGATTTCCTCAGTACTGAAGGTGACCTCATGGCCTTCCAATGTGCCCTGGTGAGTCAGCATTCTCGTTTTTACAAATTTCTCTAATGACATACCACTCAACACAAATCAAGGAAATACCGCGGTGTAAATTCCGTCCATAGCTGTCTCCGATTGCTTAATTCCGCCCCTAATTAAGTATTACTTCCTCCTTTGGAGAAAACATTAAGGGCGACGAAACGCTTCCAATAAGTTTACAAAATGTCCCAATAAAAGAAAACTGAACCATAGGTTGCAATTTTAATCCGAACAATTGATGGGATGATTTAAGAGCAATACGCGATATAATTCTGAATCAAATGTGATTATTTTTCTTCATATCGGTAAAATTCTTTCAGACAATGCTAAAGAATCGTAATCTATCCTTAGGTGATTGATGGGTCATCTATTGACTATTTTCATTACTTTTTTTCGGTCGTTTTTCCAAAATAACTCGAATTGGAATAATTTTTCACGGCGATGAAGCATATTCACAGATGGGAATTTATTAAAAGGCCGTCCGCTGCGAAGTCCATGTGCCATTAAATTATATTTCAATTGAAAAAATTGAAAAGTTTTATAGCGATGCAGTGCGAAGGTGGGATGTCAGGAACCCATTTTAAGGGATTTCATACGGAGGGTGATCATTTGAATGTAATTTTGATTTGATGAAGCATCAGAACCACCCGAAAGTGAAGTGCCTTAAGTGAAAAAATATCCACATTCTAATTCCAAATAAAATTTAAAAAATTAAAGTTTAAGAAAAAACTTCCATTAAATGTGAATATGCATGTACAATAAAACCCCACAATGGTGAAAATAAAAATGTCGATGAGGGCCTTGGCGTACATCAAGCGATATTCCCATATTGATATGGTTTGTCATAACTGATGTTATGATTTCTTCTGTGTCTTCAATATCTGAATGTGCATGCGTCAACTCTAGATTCCCTACCAAGAACTCAATGTAAATCAACTTTCATATTTTAAATCCTTCCAGGCAAATTCCTGAAAGGAAATCGATAGACCTCAGATCGGGATCCTTGACGTCAGTCCCAGCCTTCAAGAGCGACAGCCTGGAAGAACTCGACCTCAGTTGGAATAAAATCACGAATATGGAGTTCGACAAATGGGCAACTCCCAAATTGAGGAAACTCTTTCTCAGTGAAAATTCCTTAACGTCAGTCCCAGCTTTCAAGAGCGACAGCCTGGAAGAACTCGTCCTCAGTTGGAATAAAATCACGAATATGGAGTTCGACAAATGGGCAACTCCCAAATTGAGGAAACTCTATCTCTGGAACAATCGATTGAAGTCAGTCCCATCTTTCAAGAGCGAAAGCCTGGAAGAACTCCACCTCAGTGGTAATTTTATCAATAATGTGGAGTTCGACAAATGGGCAACTCCCAAATTGAGGTTCCTCACTCTCCCATTCAATGACTTGACATCAGTACCAACCATCAAGAGCGACAGCCTGGAAAAACTCGACCTCGGTCATAATGAAATCAGGAATGTGGAGTTCGACAAATTGGACACTCCCAAATTGAGGATCCTCAAGCTCTGGAGTACTTCCTTGACGTCAGTCCCACCTTTCAAGAGCGACAGCCTGGAAGAACTCCACCTCAGTGGTAATTTTATCAATAATGTGGAGTTCGACAAATGGGCAACTCCCAAATTGAGGAATTTATATCTCGGCAGCAATTCCTTGACGTCAGTACCAACCTTCAAGAGCGACAGCCTGGAAGAACTCGACCTCATTAATAATAAAATCACGAATGTGGAGTTCGACAAATGGGCAACTCCGAAATTGAGGAAACTCTCCATCTCATTGAATTCCTTGACGTCAGTACCAGTCTTCAAGAGCGACAGCCTGGAAGAACTCTACCTTGATAGAAATAAAATCACGAATGTGGAGTTCGACAAATGGGCAACTCCCAAATTGAGGATCCTCAGTCTCTGGAGCAATTCCTTGACGTCAGTCCCATCCTTCAAGAGCGACAGCCTGAAAGAACTCCACTTCGGTAATAATAAAATCATGAAGGTGGAGTTCGACGAATGGGCAACTCCCAAATTGAGGGAACTCGAGCTCTCGAACAATGAGCTGACCTCAATACCATCTTTCAAGTGGGACAGTGTGCATGGCGGATTTCCTGCTTCTAAGTCAGCGGAAAGCAACAGTGATTATCGATTCATAGATTTTTTTGATATTCCAAATGTAACGGCAGTTTCTTTGGTCATCTGTCCCGTGAAATCTCTTTTACCACGTTCCTGCGTCCATCCGTACATAAAAATGTAAAGATCGTACTTTTGTAGCGTCAGACGTGGTGTCACCACTTCGGAACCCGATACTGATGCAGTTTCTGTGAAACTTTAATTTTCCCTTTTTCGTGGAAGTTACCTGACAGATTTATTTGCTGATACAAATCTTAGAGCATCCACACTTCCTCTTCATATTCAAGTAATCATACATTTAGTAATTCTTGACACGATGAAGCGTCTTCGAGTAATGATCGCAGTGGAAATACCTATATTATGCTCTATTATCGTCTGCAAGGACATTATACATGATTAGCGGCACAAAAAAAATGGTTACGACAACGAATGTATTAGGAATTTACATGGCGATCAGAAGAAAAGTATCCAAAGTTTCCTTTAGAATCTAAAGTTTGGATACTTTTGTCGCACGTGGTATTTCAGACGTTCATCTAAGAACTGTAATGTGCGTAAGGAAATGTGTGGTAATGTTGTTAATTCCATGAAGCGCGTTTCCCATTTCCGGGCTTTAGAGTGGTACGATGATGCATTGAGTTCATTCCTATCTTAGGATTTGTAATATTGTTTTTTCCCAATTAGAGTCTGATTGAAAATGCTTATATTGGGAAACCATTTCTCCTATGTTATTGCGATCCATCTTTTGATTATTAAATCCCACGGCACCACAGATTCTTGTGAGAACAAGTGTCCACTACTGGGTCGTTACATCCTCTTTCATGTTGCATTTTTAAAAGCAAAATTAAATTAAATTACTCTTTGATTTACCGATCACTAAAATAGGAAATCGAAAATGAACAATATGATTGTAGACTTTCACCTTTCGCTAATCATGTTAATTACTTTTACTCTTTCTGCTCATTTTAGAGTGAAAACAAAGCATGTGTCTCCGTGTCTCATGTTACATCCAAAAACACGATCTTTCGCGATGCCAATTTACTAAAAGAGAGAGCTGCTTCATTTGAAGAAAAATGTAATAAACTCAATGCTCAAATTCATGGCCTGCTGATGATATTGCAATGATTCTAATTAAGGAGTTTTGTCCACCTCAATTTCAGGTCATTGGGCCCACACGAAATTGCACCTGCAAAATAATAAGATAGCTACGATTGACGGGCGGGTCCTTCACCTAATTCTGAAGGAATTTTCTCAGGGAGATGGTTTTCTTTACCTAGATGGTGAGTGCCAGGGTGGTCCAACAACTTCCTGCTTCGTTATTATTTTTCTTGGAACTTTCTCCTCTTCTTTCCAGACAATCCTATTCAGTGTGATTGTGGTTTATCCTGGTTGGCATTCTCTCCTGAATTGTTGAAAGAAGTCAGCGGGAATTGCAAAAATGGCACCTATTTGGAAGATCTTGATATGATGGAATTACTGAGAAAATGTCTCGACTCCAGAATGATAAATGATTTGATTGCATTATTGGAAAAAAATTTATTCTCCGGAATGATATGTCCAAGCCGTCCTCAGTGTCCCAACGGCGTAGGTGGTTCAAGATGCATAGATTCACAACATGTTGGCATGTGCGAAGGTGGTTTTCTTAACACTACTTTTGCCTGTCCGAAAGAGACTCAGGTCTGCTGCATTAGCTCCGTTGCACTAATTCCACCTCGTCATGGAAAAGTAAGTCTAAATTCGGCCATATATGCCATACCGCCATGACAAATCAAGTCCATTCAGACACTCAAGGATATTAAGAATATTATTGTCGTTTTTAGGCAGGGGTGACTGGCTGTGAACCACTTCCTGGTATAAAGAACGGACGCTTCCATATTCTCTCATGCCCTAATGATGAGCGGAGGTAGGATTATTCAATTATGCTCTAATGTTTCCCGTAGTTGAGAGGGTTTCCTCCCCCCCCCCTTCCCTCCACCCTCATAAAATTACATATACCAGAGTTATACGTTTATGCATTTGTTTCTATGATAACTATATATATATAAATGTGTTTCAGGTCTAATTTAGGAAGAAACGTCTGTTTTCGTACTAACATTTTCTTGTTACTTTTAATATGCCATGGTACTTGTTTGAGAGATAATGGGACTGAACCTAAGTTACGGCATGGCGTGAGTGATAGCCTCCTTTCAATTTGGGAACACTGGAACTGGCCATTGACAAAAGTTCATATTTCTTTCAGTTCCAAAAATAAAACGGATTGCATTCAAGGTGGGAAATACCTCATCAGGAGTAAAGTGTACTACTCTTGTGAGGAGTATCATATTCTGAGGGGCCCACGTATTCGAACTTGTGGAGCGAAGCAGAAATGGTCAGGACCTGACCCCTTCTGTGAACCTGGTCCGTGTTAAAGGAAATGTTTTTGATGCTCGATTGTGAACAATGTTGGTGATGAAATTATAACGTGAATTCTACTCCTGTTAGAATGTGGGACACTGAAAAATGTTCCTGGACCAGCTTCACCCCTGATTAAGGATGGGATGATCGCTGAGCCTGGAAAGTGGCCATGGCAAGCTGCAATCTATGATAAGCAAGACAAGGAAATCTTATGTGGAGGTGCTCTTATTGGAGAAAGATGGGTTCTCACGGCAGCACATTGCGTCGTGGAAGGGACTCGCAGCTTTCTTACAATCAGAGGTGTTAACAATTTCTTCGTCTATCTCGGCAAGCACTTTCGAGATGAGTCAAAGGATGATGGATTAGTCCAGAAGAAGGAGGTGCATGATCATTTACATTTCTCCTTTCCTTCATTTTCAAGGTCAGATGAAGAACATGTTAATCAGCATGTCCTTGTTTGCAGGTGACTCTCATCATTCCCCACCCCAATTACGATACTCAGGACTTTAATTCGGATATAGCCCTCCTGAAACTCACGGAGGCGGTCAATTTCACGGATCGGGTTCAGATGGTTTGCCTCCCAACCCATTCCGATCTGACTGAGGTCAATCTACAAGGAGGAAGTCAAGGATGGGTGAGCCACGATGATTCAACTCACATCCTTCATTTAAGTTCATATGTGTATTTTTCTTGGTTTCGCGGCAGGTGGCCGGTTGGGGTCATGATGCCTCGAATGAAGGAACGGATGTTTTGAGGCATATAAAACTTTCTGTCATATCCAATGAAAAATGTCTCAATGATTCCTCTTTTGCCACAAGCAATCCTCTTACGAACATCACTGAAAACATGTTTTGTGCAGGAGACAGCAGTGTGGCCTCGGCTAATAGGAGGAGAGGTATGATTTGAAGCATATTTTCAATCTCCTGTGACTGATGCATTTTACAGCAATTAATATATGAGAGCAGAAACTGACAGGCGAACCTGTTTTGAAACTGGCACACTCATTCAACTGCTTTAGGCTATATATGTCATTCATGGCATATCATGATTCTCATCATTAGATGCGAAAAATTCAAAGATGTCAAAATTTTCTGGAAATTCCTGGTTATTCAACGTAAAAGTTTCCGGTTGACAGACTGGAAATGCAAATATCCTCCAATGCTCTAAAAATTACCAACATTTCCTTGGAATTATCACTTCATGGACTATGTTGAAAGATTTTCGTATTTTCTGAAATTTTACGAGAAAGAAACAAAAAATAAAAAATAGCATTTTTAAAGGAACGATCCTTCTAATTCACGGCAGGAGAAGCCTCTAAGGAATATTCATTGTCCCTCGATGCAGGAAGGTCGTAAATGACAAATTGCGAGGAATTTATTGAAAGAAAATTATAATCGTGATTAAGAGAAAGTCGCGCCGCCATCTCATCGAGAAAGCACCTCCTTAACGGAAAAAAACTGCAACTGCTAAATGATTTATCGCAAACATCTGACGAATCGCTTACTGGGAGCTTGTTCACGCTAGTGCTTTTTCACTACAGTTCGAATGCTTCGAAATCTGTTTAACAGTGTATGGTTTCCGCTACTAAGCCTGATATGTTTTACTTGAATCATATGGCCATTTGTATTTCGTTCACTCTTAACTTTCTGATATTTTCTGTAAAGCGTTGTTAAATAGCGTTTGTAATGACTTTGACTTCACGAATCGAGGATATGAATGTAACCTTTATTCCTGGTCACCTAGAGTATAAAACGGTGTGTCCTGGGGATTCGGGAGGTCCATTGGTTTTCACCTCGGATCGTGGGGTGAGAGGCCAGTGGTTTGTAGAAGGAATTGTCAGTCACATCTACGTAAATTCAACACAGAAGTGCTCCAATTATCATCCAGGACAGTATGGCATATTCACTAGAGTCAAAAAGTAAGACATGCCTTGTTCTTATTCCCCTGCAGTTTATTCCGTTTTGATATATCGGATGTGTCTTGGACTTTTTTCGTTTAGAAATAGCATGGTTTGACGATTCTTCTTCGCCTGCAGTTTCATGCAAATAATAATGTTTTGGCGAGAACTTATATTATTCTTTGAACATGTTGATGTGGTCACCTATTCATTTATAGGATAGTTTAAAAAACGCTCTACCGTTTTTTCTTGGAGAAACACAGTCTTATAAATGCAGCAAAAAAGTACACCGTATGTGCGAGCGACATTTGACAGCTACAAGGTGTTAAAATGCTTGTCAGCTTTTCTCAGCACCCCTGCCCAAGTCGTGCAATCCCTATTTAAAGGTGATTTAAAGTTGCTTATAGTTGGAATATACCACCTTAAGTGAGGTTATTACCTGTGCTCGACCGTCTAAAAATTCATTGAACTTCAACTTTCAATTTGAAGGGACAGTTGGATCCAGCTGATAATTGACAGAGATGTTCATGAGTTTAATAGGTGTTTTTCACATCCGCAAGATAGCACTGTATCCCAATCTAGGACTCTGTCGTTGACTGCGTGACCAAGGCTAATTTAAAAAAGCTCCTCCTTCTTTAAAGGAAAAAAACCACGATTTTTGTATTCGAGTAAAAATTCTTTTTCTAAAATCTTTTTTTCTAAACAATACTCTAAGCCATGTATTGTCCCAATACACAGTTAACAGGTGGACTATTGCGACTTCTTTTTTTAAATCACCTTCTGTCACCCGGTCAACAACACCGCCCTCTATCGGGAAACAGCGCCATCTTGCGGAGGGGAAAAAGACCGCTCAGACTGATGAACCACGGCATCAAGAATCAGCTGGATCCAACTATCCCTTGAAAAGTTAAAGTTGGCAAGCATTTCAACACCTTGTAACTGTCAATTATCGATCGCGAATCCAATGTAATTTTTTCTATATTATGAAACTGTTTCTCCCACAAAAAACGGCATATCATTTTTTAAACCACTCCACTTTTAAACCAAGCATCAACAAGTTCACACGCTGGTAACTTGTAAGGAATGTGCCATTAGTCAATTCATGAAGAAAAACTCTTTACTTGAAATATTATCGTGAAAACTGATATTGAAAAATATCGTCATATATGGAGAAGTAACTTCTTTCTAAAACTACTTGCTATGTGAAAAATATGAAATTCAAGGCAACATGTTCATCTCTTTTCATCTTCCCACCCAAAAATCAACAATGTATATATTAATATGTGATATATCGACATATTTGCTTTTCGACATTGAAAATGTTGAATGTAATACTAGTCTGAACACCTAATAGCATGTTTTAATTGTTGTTAACCTAAAAAAGTGAACAACAGAGGTCTATCTAAAGTGAATTAAGGCTCCAAGCTCATACAAATTGATTATACGTCTGAATATATATACATGTATTTCCGTCATTGAAACCCATATGGGTAGTCGGCCGTAGCGTCACTCATTTTAGCGTCACTAATTTCATTTCCCGCTGACTGAATTTCTCAAGTTGTTCTTTGGCGTTTTTTCTTTGCCGTTAATACTGTTTTTCTTTTCCATCAGGTTTGTTGACTGGATCAAGGAGAGCATATCGATGTATTCAGAATGAAAGTTCATGTCTTTCTTCTCAGCACTCCTCTACAAATTTCTCAGGTGCTTCCAACTGTATTTATTTCTCTCATAGTCAGATTTGAAGCCAAGAATTTCAAAGTCGAAAAGGAAAATCAAGTACGCCTGTCCAGGAAAAGTAGAAAGCAAAATGGGAAAAATCAAGCTCGACAATTGAGGCGAATAGACGAATCCGTGTTTTATCTACATCCAAAGGATAGTTAATCAAACTGAACATGAGATGGATTGGAAGAACATGATATGCATATAGTTACTGTCACGTTACTCGAATCTTACGATTGAGTCGAGAGTGAAATTCCCGCCCGATGGCAATGGCAAAGCCAAAATGCAAAAATCAGAAAGTCTTTACACCTTTAACATAAGGTACATAGCGTCCTCTCTGGATTATTCTGTTGTTCGTGATTGCGTAGTCGGGTTTTTCAAGTGATTTGCACCTTACGCACTCATGCACAAGGATCCGGAGGTAAATGAATGAATGCCTGATGAAAGCGAAAGCACCTTAGATGGTGCTTTGCCAATCCATGGAATAATCAGCGCCCAACGCATACATGAGCACTAGGTTTTCCTCCTTCATCCCTCTCACTTCTCTTCAAATATTGCGTATTTCTCTAAATAATTATCTTCTCTTCAAGAGAGAGGATTTTCCCTGTCTTGGATGTTGTAGATAGGTGTTGGCTTTACGTGGTCTGGCTACCAGCAGAGTGCAGCTTCCATAAACCAGCAGAGTGCGAAACATATAACCCGTTTGTGCATTTTTGAAGCAAATAAGTAAGAGAAAAAAAATCAGGGTGAATTCAATTTAAAATTTCGTACAAAAGTTCTTGCCCCTCGCATAAGCCAACATTCTGGAAGCATATCTGTGGAAATTTCTGGAGAGATTTTTCGAGAACTTTCTAGGTGAGGAAAGACACATATATACGTGTAGCTGGGAAAAAGCCGAAATACTTTAAATACTTCGCCGAAAACGAAGCGACCAACTGTTTTGCACCTCTGGAACGATGGTCAACGATCTCCTGTCACAATTGCTCTTTTGACGAAGATCCCCTTTCGGACTGTCAAGTAAAATATTGCCAATATTTAAGAGCAAGGCATGGTGGAGAACAGGTGCCGTAGTGGCCGACCTGAAAGATCACTGCCGCCGACGACAAGGCACTCTGCCAGTGGATTCGACGATTCCATGTGACAAGGGCGAAGAACTGTCGCAAAAGTTGATTCAGTGCCGAGGTCGGCATGTTTCCCAATGGACGGTACTTGAAATATACTTGAAAAATAGAAATACTTTAAATACTAATGGAGAGCCTTTTGTAACATTATCATAAAACTGCAAACATGGGAAAATTAACCAATTTTCTGCAATTAGCAGTCCTCTATTATGTTCCTCTCGTATGTTTCAGCTGCCCGTGATGAAATGAAATCAGTACACTTCATAAAAATGAATTTTCATGAATTTTCGAAATTGCCATATTCTTTAGTTCGTGCATCCCAAAGGAAGGGAAACTGTCAAGAATGTGGAAATGCATTTTGTGAAATTTTGGAATTGCAAACAGGTGGACATTTTCTTACATGTTCTGCACACCGTGTTATTATTTGGAACACAATATTCCCTAGGGACTTTTGGAATAAGACATTACTTAATCATTCATCTGTTTTGACGACAAAATTCAAATCTTCTGCCTTTCTTCCAGACACTCAATTTCTCAATTTAATTCTGTTCCTGGTTTTTCAAGGAAAGTGTGCTTGCATGCGAGGTTCCCATGGTTTCTTTGCCTGTTGAAAATTGTGTTACATGTTCAGGACTCTATGATTATTTCGTTATGAGAATCTTGAGCATTCATTTACGAAGATAAACGCTTTCATATTCTATAAAAATTCTGGATTTTCAATCATATTAATCATAGGATGTGGTTCATATTATGGAATACCACAAGAATACCTTCTTGAGCCAATTGACATATTCTCGCCAGCCGTGGCCTTAAAGAGACTGCTATGAAAGGGTGAATCCAGGAACGCAGGATAGAGTGCATTTCCGCAGCGGTACGAGTACTTTTGAGCGTGATCACATTGCCGTGCACATTGTTCCTCTAGAATTGCGTATTTCCGCTTAATTATTCTAATCTCGGAACTATCGGAATGGATAAAATTCAAATTCAAATCCGAGAATGGGAAGGAGACTCCAAGAAAATGAACTTGATGGCTTGCTTCCTCCTCTTCATGGAATCCTTTCATGTAAGACATGCTCGCACTTCAACGAATATATCCTAAAAAATGGAAGAGACTCTCATGGACAACTCATATTTGATGGCGTTACTATTTTGATGGCCTCATCAAAGAGGCATATTCTTTCTTGTTATCCCTTCGTTACTCATTTTCATTTCGAAAACTTCTGCCAATTCACCGGAAATTCATTCTCTTGCGTTGACCATACATTCTGGTATGAAATCTGTTTTTGAGGGAAAAACCACACTTCATGCCCCTTGGCTATTTGCTAAAGCACACCCATATTTCTGTTCGCTTTGCTGCCTGAATAGAAAGCACCAGCTGGCTTCTATTACCCACTTATTTAATAAGTAAGTTTGAGTTGGCATAGAAAGTGATATAATGCATCAATTTTCCTAGAATCAGGAACTTAGGTACTTAGGTACAAGAAAATACGGTAGCCAAGTCTCGTCAGGAGTAAGAATATTGTTCAAGAATGGCGAGGAATCTGAGTTATTGTATTTTCTTGCGGAAACCAAGGAACAGTCTAGGGAATGACGTCATTCCTCTTCTCGTCCGATGAAGTGCAGCTCTGAGAGCTCGACCACAAATATGATCACAGACTTCTTGGAATACAAAGGAATATTGCTGTGTGATATTTTGGAGAACGAGCACCTCATCAATGCTGAGAGATACTGCGAACTATTTAACAAACTGAGAACTGGAAGCACGTGGAAGAGACCTGAACTTACGAAATCTGTCTCCTGCACGACAACGTCGGGTCACATACGCACAGCTTACCAAACAGCACGCCTTCTGGCCAATTTCTATTGTACATTCATCGCTCATCCACTCTATATTCGAGAACTTACATCTTTAGATTACCAAATTCACGGCCCTTTGAAGAGAGACCTTCGGGGAATACACTTCAAGTCATCAGAAGATCTCAGGCAGGCTGCATAAATTTGCCTTCGAGAGCAGGGGACTGACTTCTATTACAGGACATAATGTATTCCCTCGCTGTTCGCGATTTCGAGTAATCGAATTGTATACCATTTTACCATACCGTATGAGGTTTTGAGTATCCGCGGTTTCAGGCGGATACTGATTTTTTTGTGGATAGTTTTTCTTAAATTTGAATAACTTTGATGTATTTTTACAGAACATACATACTCACTATTTATGAATTTTTTCGATGTGCTACCAAAGGGTCTTCTGAAGGGGTATTGAAATTGAGACGAATGTTGGGAGGAATTTTTAGAGGAAGGTCAGTAGGACTCTATCCTCTCAAACTCTCTGAAAGATCTGTTGCTTGGTCGGCCACTTAGATATTAGAAAATTCCACACAGAAATCGTCTCAATTGTAATACCCCTTCAGCAGACCCTTTCGTAGCATATTGAAAAAATTCATAGGAGCTCTTATTAATCGAAAAATAAGATGACATTTCGCCAGTCACCATCAAACACAGCTGTCTTCCCATCCATATACATAAGACGCTAATCTGTCTGTCATTCTGTCATTCCGGTAGACTCCTCCAAGACGGATGAATGGATTTCCTGAAGTGTAATGTCAGTCGAAAGCTTATCACCTAGAAACAATTCTTTATAGATCAAAAGTCCAAAAAGGTATTAAAATGTTCAAGTAATAGGCCTAATTTTGGCGATAAGAACAGCATTGTCCTGCACGCTTTCCCGGGCCGTGTACTCAAAACATCATGGCCCGCATTCGACAGGAAACTCGATTGCCAATCTTGCTACACGCCCGATGCACGGATCAGATCTGTCTTATCGATCCAATCCGCATCTCGGCCGAACTCAAAATCTTCCCTTAGTCTACTGGGCGTCCCAAACTAGAATTGCACTCACACTTTTAAGGCTACTGAGCGGAACTCGCTGAAAATTTGCGTGCAGGCGATTAGGGTTTGCGTGATGACGGAATGCATCTCCTATTATTGACTGAAACCATGTCTGTTTGAAATTCGAGAGTTGTTTCTCTTTAGAAAGCTGAAAAGAAACTCACTAGATATTGTTCCCTAAGGGAACTTGAGAGCCTTTGATGACGGGAACCATATCCTCCTTCTCCATCTGATTTATGGGAGTTCCAAATTCATTCGGTATGTCTCACTTGAATACTGTAGGTGTAAATCAAAAGCTTATGACCTAAAGGCGATACCTATTGGGTCAACAGTTCCAAGAGTCCTTCCCTGGCGAAGTGCTCACAACCAACAATGAGAGTACGAGGCATTGTCGGCTACGGACATTGTAGCTATGGTAACTACTTGCAATGATAATACCTTGTATGTCATAGTTCATGTGTCATAGTGTTACCAGTTCTGTCGCCGGTTTACGACATTGCTTCGCGTAAATCTGCAGTATTGAGTCAGCGTTCCATTTGATTAATTCGAATTTTGGTGTTGCTCTCAAAATACCACGAAACAAGTGGGGAAGCTTAAACTATTCTGCGGAGGGAAGTACTGAACGTAAGAGGAAGAGAGGCATTCTTGAGTCACAGTCAGTGGGTGAAAGAGCATAACGGAGTGCATAAAATGCTGCTTCGCTTGCTTCTAAAAACAAAGAAATTGACGAAGAGAGAAAAGAAAGGCATGTAAGAAATGCATTGATTCGACTTATTTCAGCCGTGCGTGCAAGGGCTTTGACACACGTGATAAAAGTAAGAATGGTGTATTGCAACTGGAAGTGCCTTGGTCACAGAACTTTTTGACCACCCCTCGTATGTTGCCGAGCGCGCCGCAACGTGCTGAAAAGGCTTCACATTTGTATCGACCAAGACAGCGGACATATTGACCACATGAAGGGAAGTTCTCTGCTGTATTGTTTTTCTTGGAAATGTACCTCCAAGAAAAAAATA